ACTTACCATTTCAGTTATACTATTTCACTTATTTTATTTATTATCTTTTGATTTATTCTTAAAGTTAAATTTGTTCTCCTTGCAAATATTGCATTGCGATAATACATTCTCCGCGAAAGGTCTCACTATAGATGCGACGTTGCTCACTGTGGTAAGTGATCAAAAAGTACCCTTAATTAAATACGTATTATTTATGTATTTCATGTTTTACTTTTAGATGGTGAGTAGCGTTTTCACGTATTTATTAATCTTAATACAATTTTTGATCATAACGCATTCTTGCGACAGCAAGACAGATGCAATTAATTATACACAAGCAATTTAATTATTACAAAGACGTTTAGAAATATTGAAAACTTTTGATCTTTGTGTTGAATATTTTATCGTTGTCAATATAACTGTCCAACGTTTTCATTCTTAAAAAATCATATATACATCTTATTCATATATGCCAAGTAAAAATCTTGTACCAAGTGTAATAATAAGTAAAATTTAAAGACTTTATTTGTTTGAATGTACCACACTAATGTATAAATTAATAAAAAATGTGTTCCATATCAAATATATCATAAAACTTAACAGTCTAATTGTCCTTTCGTTAAAAATAGAATATGTTAAATATCAATATTAATGAATTCACAGCTAATTTATATCTTATATGTTTCTCGTATCGATTAATTCATAGAATCTTTTTATCAAATTAAAAGTACAAATAATTTTGATGATAAATTTAACGCTAAAATTCAAATAATTCGTTAAATTGAAATTGCATATTTTTTATTCAAGTTTTAGTTATTATATAGATTCAATTAAATTTTCATTGAGAGGTAATAGACGAAATATTGCAATAGTAATTTTAAGTCATATTTCTTTTTACATGAAAAACAATAAATCGACTAACTAAAAATATCTCATTTATATATTTATAAAATATTAATTAATTTTGGATCGATTAAAGAAATTAAGCAATATACATATAACTTCGTTAGATCAATTTTAATCTAGGAAATAGCTCATTACAAAATTAGTTTCTAAATATGCGCGCAACACAATTTAATAATATTTTAATATGTAAAATTTATGTACAACTCGAAACCAAATCATTACAAAATTAAATATTATAATTTTCTATTATCATTACAAATTATGATAGGAAAATACATATACGAATATATTTTTGAATGAATACGTTATAAATATATTTATATTAAAAACTATAATAGTAAAGATCACATTAAAATTCAAGATTGTTAGATATCAAAATTATTATCAATGTATAAAGACTCCAAAAATCAATGTTATGGTAAAAATATAAAGTATTCTAATTAAAGAATAATTTTTATTTTATATATGCTTTCAGACATATTATTCCCAATTTAGATCTGCTAAATGAAAATCCATATGTTAGAAATTACTTTATTATATGTTTTTATATTCTAAAAGATCGAAAATGATAATCATAAGATGTCGATGTTGCTTCATAGCTAACAAATAAATTTTTAGTCACGGCTTACTATTCGACGTAGCAACTATCTGCAACTTTAAATTTAATTAATCGCAGTTCATAAACGGATAAGACTAGTGCCAATTGATGTACATATGTTTATGGTGGATAATTTGAAATTGAATACTACACTTAGAGGTTTCTAGCTTATATTAACGCTAAAGTGCATGAAAAATAACAATGATATCACTCAATTATTTGGAACAAAATAACAAGATACGATAAAAAATGAGTTCAAAGAAAGAAGTCAAATGGTAAAAAATAGTCTTATATTTATGGTGTGGGTTAATTATTCTTAATAATTCTTTGGATTTAACGTGATTCTCGCCCTTGAATGAGGATTTGGTTATATCGTATACATCATGACGGTACTCTTATGAACATGGTGGAATAACACTTTAGTTGCTTATGATGCAATTATGACATTAGTTCCGTTTTTTAATTTGTGGTTTAGATTATTAGATTAATTGTATTGTCAACTGAAGAAGACTCTGTGAGTCGAAACGTTTTAACGTATAAGAATTGAATGACATTGTATTTTAAATATATATTTTTATCGTATCTAATAACTTTTATGCTCATTTTTTGGTCGTTATCTTATTGTTTTGCATGAAAAATGATGAAGTAGAGGAGATCGGAGTCAGTAAACTATGGGATAAGTAGAATAATGGCTATGTTAAAAACAAAACACGCAAAACATGCGTAAACCACAGTTTCCAAGTTTTCAGATTTCGACTCAAGTTTTCGAAATCAATTTCCAATTTTCCAGCAGATGGGAAAAATCTCCAGTTTTTCGCTCGCGTGTGGTATTTAATAATTTGCACTATCCAGTAATGCTCGCGATGTTATTGTGTATAATTATTATGATTTCCCGTTTAGAATGTTTATATTAAAATATTTTTACTATTATCACTAACAATAAGTGTAATGTAGAAAAAAAACCAAAGAAGAAATAAAAAAGCTACTACAAAACAGATATATGAAAGATGCTGCACTGAAAAAAATGATTTTGTTATAAGAACAAATCAAGAAAAAGCAAATGTGATATTTATCAAAAAACCGATTTATTTGTTACAATTGCAAATTAATTCGTCAATGTAACAAATAATCAATAGTATTGCTAGCAAATAAGAAGCTCATGTATATATATATATATATATATGTGTGTGTAAAAGTCGTAGACGGTTGCAAGGTCTCAAATCGTAAGAAATTGACCAATTCTAGTCAAGTATTCTTTCTATATTAGATTGTGCTTGATCGGTTTCTTACGACTTAAGACTCCATGATCATTTACAAATTCTATGTAAACGAGCCTAATCTATCCAAAAGATAAGTTAAATTCTATATATAATTTGCTTCTGTTAGTTTTGTCCTAATAATTAGTTGGTATAGCAGACTAGCAGCAATCACAAAGTTTGTTATCACATATTTACCAATTACCGGTTAAAGGTACTGGTGGCTTGTTAAATTAACAAAATCTTTTCTCTCAGAGCGGAACTATGACTTATTTAGTAACGACTTTTATAGTATCTACTCAATATTTTATTCCTTTAAGGAGTTTTACCTCAGCGATAAATATTATAAATTAATTCCCTCACATCTAATCTTGATAAAAATTAATCATTTCACGTGTTTTTGCATAAAATAAACGAAATTTGGCAAAAAGAAGTATTGTTCTGCTTTGACAAGCAAATGTTTATGTTTAAAACATCTTTTTATAAAAGTTACATTAATATGTAGCTAAAGATGTAGCTTAAAATATATTAATCTTTATTTTAATAATCTTAGTCAAATTACCCCGTTAGTCATTTTATCCCGATTCTGGGGCTAGTTGACTCAGATAAAATACATTAGAAAAATGTAATTTTTTTCATATCAATTTTATTATTTACTCATTATTATTAAAATATTATTAGATAATTAAATATATATAATTGATGTAGAATTTTTCGATAAATTTTTTAATATCGTCTGTAAAAATTTAAAACTAAAAAATAAGTCTAGCTTCGGTCTCCCCTACTTTACAAATTTAAGAAGAAACGATTATAAAATATTAATATATTAAAATGTTGTTCTTTCACGATAATTTGTTAATTATATTTAATATGTTGTAGAAATTTCAAAGTGAACTCAATGGCCAAAACAAAAAGGGAAATGTGGACGTTGTTCCATGCTATCGATTTTCAATCTTTGATGTATCCCAACTTTATCATAAGCAAAATTCTCGGAATATTTCCATATAAAATTAAGGCTTCATTTTTTGAAACTTCTAAACCGCGTTATATTCTATGGATTTTTATTCTCTGCGTAATCTGTGTTTATGAGTTGACAATGTTGTATGAACTCAATCTCAATCTCTCTGGAAACATCAAGATTGATGTACCCAGGATTATATCGTTGAACTTGTCCTTTCTGTATGGACTGTTTCTAGTGGTCATCTCTTACATCTTCAGCGGTCCGCAAATGCGTTTACTTCAAACTATATCAGATATTTCTTTAAGATTGCCACAAAAGTCATATCAAAAACTATCCAAATTAATACACGCTAAGGATATTTTCGGCTTTTTCTTTCATTTCTGGCTAGCGTTAACATTATATTTCTCATATACTGAAAAAAATGTTTTCGGTTTATTCGATATCTTCAGAATTTTTATCAGCTTGTTAGGATTTCAAATAGATATGCTATATATAAATTGCGTTTGTGTCTTAAAGGCCTGTTTCAAAGAAATCAATAATAATTTGGAGAATCTGCGGGAGCTGATGATAATTAATCCTAGACAGAACTATCATGAGCAAAGACATCCGTTTTTGCTGATAAAACTTAATGATCTGAAGAAACAGCATCTGATGATAAGTGACACAGTGCAGATGCTTAACATGATTTTCAGTCTGCATCTTCTCGCTACCATAGCTTTATCCTTCAAGCAGATAATATTCTACGTGTATTCCAATGTAATACAATGGCAAAACGGGATATCCTTGAATCAAGACGAGATTAATAATGCTTATTTTATATCAGTCTTAATATATTATTTTACAAGATTGACATTGATAGTGTGGGCTTGCGAAACTGGCAAAAACGAAGCGATAAAAATTGGCACTACCATTCACGATGTACTTAACGGCATCAGCGATGTACAAATCAAAGATGAGGTAGTAAAGAATAATTTCACTTTAGTTTAAAAATTTTTTACAACTACGTTGCGATTTTTAGGTGTAGTAAAAAGAAATTTATTATTTTTCCAATAGATGGCTTTAGTAATCTGTATCTCGCTTTGTATAAGTGCGATCGGGTTACGCCAAATGGCGTTAGAAAGATAAGATTTCGTACTAAAAAAACTTCTCAGACAGTTTTGTGATTGCTTGAGTCAGTATTGTTTGAGCGTGTCAAAGATGGACACCAACAAAGAGAAAATGCACCATATTTTATAGTTTTTCTTCGATAAAGGCGAAAACGCAAGCCAGGCGGCTGAAAATGTGAATAGTGTTTATGGTCCTGATACTGTAACAGTCAATATCGCGCAATTTTGGTTTCGTCGATTCCGTTCCGGTAATTTTGATGTCAAAGATGCACCACGCTCTGGAAGGCCAATTGTCGAAAATGTCGATAAAATAATGGAAATCGTCGAGTCCGACCGTCATGTAAGCACTGTTTCGATTGCCCAGGAGCTAAACATTGCACAAAAAACCGTTTGGAACCATTTAAATAAGGCTGGATACAAAAAGAAGCTCGATGTATGGGTGTCACACGAGTTAACGCAAAAAAACCTCATGGACCGAATTTCCATCTGCGAATCGCTGCTGAATCGCAACAAAATCGACCCATTTCTGAAGCGAATGGTTACTGGTGATGAAAAGTGGGTCACTTACGACAACGTCAAGCGAAAACGGTCGTGGTCGAATCGCGATGAGCCGGCGCAAACGGTGGCCAAGCCAGGATTGACGATCAGGAAGGTTTTGCTGTGTGTTTGGTGGGATTGGCAGGGAATCATCTACTATGAGCTGCTCCCCTACGGCCAAACTCTTAATTCGGATCTGTACTGTCAACAATTGGACCGTCTGAAAGAAGCAATCGCCCAGAAGCGGCCAGCTTTGGCCAATAGGAGAGGAATTGTGTTCCATCAAGACAACGCCAGGCCACACACATCGATAGTGACTCGCCAGAAGCTCCGGGAGCTTGGTTGGGAGGTTCTTATGCATCCACCGGACTTATAGTCCGGACCTGGCACCAAGTGATTACCACCTGTTCCTGTCTATGGCGAATGATTTTGCTGGTGAAAAATTCGCCTCAAGAGAAGCTTGTGAAAATCGACTGTCCCAGTTTTTTGCCAATAGGGACGAGGGTTTCTATGAGAGAAGCATAATGAAATTACCTTCAAAATGGCAACAAGTTATCGAACAAAACGGTGCATATTTGACCTAAATCGGATCATTCTAATTATGCTAAATAAAGCCTTCAATTTAATGCAAAAATAATAGATTTCTTTTTACTACACCTTTCAACTAATCTACATTTATCATTTCTGTTTTATAATTTTTGTATTTATTATCATTTGATTTATTATTGCAGTTAAATTTGTTCTCCTTGCAAATATTGCATTGCGATAATACATTCTCCGCGAAAGGAGGTCTAACTATAGATGCAACGTTGCTCACTGCGGTAAATGATTAAATATGTTTCTTAATTAAGTATGAATTATTTACGTATTTCATATTTTGCTTTTAGATGGTGAATAGTATTTCCACGTATCTATTAATTTTAATACAATTTTTGTTCATGACGCATTCCTGCGACAGCAAGACAAATGCAATTAATTATACAAAATAAAACAATTTAATTAATACAAATGCGTTCGAGAATATTGAAAACTTTTGATTTTTATGTGAATTTTGTCGCTATGAGTTATCCAATGTTTTTATTTAAAAAAATCATATATACATGTATCTATGTATGCACAATATCAGATAAAAATCTTATATTAATAATCGTATATTAATAATCAGTAACATAAATAAGACTTTATTTTTTTCAAATAAACAAAATTAATAAATAAATTAATAAAAATGTATTTTATGTCAAATAAATAATGCAATTTATAGTTTAATTGTACTTTTATTCAAAAATAAAATATATTAAATAGCTAATATTAATCAATCATCGATTAATTTATATTTTATGTATTTTTCATATTGATTAATTAAAATTTTTATGTCAAATCAATATATATCAAAAATATGAATAACTGTTAAGGCAAATTTAATTCTTAAAATTGATTTAAACAATTTGTCAAATGCAAATTGCATATTTCTTATTTACATTTTAATTATAAATAAAATTTAATTTTTTTATTCGTCATGATAGATGAATTGTTTCAACGTTTGATTTTTACGACCGACTGCTGTCAACCGAAGGTTGGAGAGAATATGTTTCACGGATCGGTTGTTATCACATATCTCTATAACTATAATGTATATTCTTATCAAATTTTGGCTATTGACTTCTTATTGACCAAGCTTGGTTTATAGTACATAATTATCAATAATTATATTGTTAATTAATAAAAGTATTTTCGTTCATAAGCTTTTTATTGATTAGAAATGAGTTCTCGTTGAATGTACGTTCTTTGATTGGATGTCGGGTGAATCTAGGAACCAAATCGATTAACCAATAAAATATATTGTCAGTACGGAACTTTAGTAATTTTCAGTTATGATTAGCACGTGTCATAAACAGAGAGAAATCTGAGAGAAGACATGACGGCCCAAAACTACAGCATTACACTGAAAAAAATATCGTCAATTTTAATAAATATTTAGTTAAATACTGCCAATTAAATATTTATTAAATATAAAAATATATTTATTTGATACAAGGAATGTCATTTTGATTTAGCAATCATTTTTTTACTAAACAAATATTTATTTACTGTAAATGTTTAGTTGGCAGTATTGAACTAAATATTTATTAAAATTGACTATATTTTTTTCTCAGTGTATAATATAGATATTCATATCCGCCATTTTTAGTCCTTTCCCCACTCTTTGTTCTCTCTTCAATCTTTTTAATTTAGCGGCGGAATGGAGAGAAAGCAAGGGAGGAAAGGAGCAAGAGAGTAAGAATAGGACTAAAAATGGCGGATACGAATATTCATAGTGCCTTACCAAAACCTGTAACCGCAAAATGCTGCCACGCACTACTGCCCTTTGAAGAAGTGGATGTTAACTACACAACAATATCCACCTTATTGCGGTGCTCCTGATGCAAATAGATACCTAAAATCGCTAAAATAACTAAAATCTATTAAATTATTAAAGATTTCAACAATTCACTGAAATGTTTTTATTTAATATTTAATTTTTATTTTTGCTTGTTTATTTTATACTTTTAAAATCAATATGTGTGTGTGTGTGTGTGTGTGTGTGTGTGTG